TGAGAAATGGATCCTTTCTTTTCTCGTTCAGCCTTAATGTTCAGTTTCTGTAGATTTTAGAACAGGGAGCCAGCAATAAGAGCACGAAGGGCCTGACAGACGCTTTCAAGGACTATAATTGAGTTGGAGACTTGATGGAAAGCTGCGGAAAACTGCTGGTTCCACCAGAGAGATTAAAACGGGCAGAAAAGGGAGAGAGTTGCTCCTTAACTGTAAAGGCACTCTCTGATCTGCTTATAGGATTAATAGTCGAAAGCGGGACCTCTTTTTTAAAAAAACAACAGGCAAACGCCCCCCCCCCACGGGGGCGCCCCCCCAATCCATAACTCTATTGCAGGCTTTGGCTTCCTCTCGAAGAAAGAAAAAAAAAAAGCAAAAGAAGAAAGCAAAATGTGTCATGATTTTCATCAAAATGATCCAGACTCTCTGCTGTTTTAAGATCACGGGCCAAAAGAATAGTAAACAAAGCCATATCGACTAAATTGCTGAAAGAACATCATTGCATTTTTGAATGGATAACTGCTAGGATTTTTTAACTTCGACTCATGTGTGAAAACTGTGAAGTAGAAAGCTGCAGATAACTGCAGCGCAAGACTTCATTTGCTGAATTGTCAACGAACTCATGACTAAAATATGTCTTTTAATAACCTCTCATTTCATGGGAGTTATTGAAGAGAATATTATTTAGAATATTTGTTTAACTGGAAAGAGGACACCATTGTATATTTCACTTGAAAAAGGAGCCAAGAATTGGGATCAACTTTCCTCTCTACTTCTAAAGCAAGGTGCTTTATGGACCATAGATGGCCCTCTTGGCAGTTAAAACAGATTAGCTAGTTTTGTTGATGATTGCAGTGGAGTTTACTGTGGTGCGTTAGAACAGCTGTTTTTTTTCCTCAGATTTGACCCTTATAGTGAATGTTGATTTAATAGTCCAACTTCTTTGTTTACAGGGGACAGAAAATTTGGGTATTTGAAAGCCCCATGTACTCTTTTCACTTAATAAATGCCTGTCGGATGAAATGAAGAGTGGCTATTTGTAGACAGGACCAGTAGTCTTCAATTACTCCATGTCCTCCTCCCTCTCCTGAGTTAAGGTTGTGCTTATTTCGGATCAGTTCCTTGTTCTGCAATTCATCAGTTGGTAAATGAGTTCTCTCTCTCTTAATGTTGACAGAGGAAACAATTGGCACAAATTCCAAGACAAGTTTAAATTAAAATGTTGACACAAAAATGCATCTGCTATTCATGGAAATGGTCTAGTTTACAGACTAGTTTTAAATTCTTATGCACCAGGTACTTTTCTTTTTAATGAAATTTCCAAATATATTTGAGAATATTTATTTTATACAGTGGATCATGTTTGCTATGGTTCAAAACTGCATATGTGTGTGTAGGAATTTATCATATAATTTGTCCATTTATGACAGAATAAGATAGAAAATGAAAAGGTGGATCATTCTGGGCTCCTTCTCAATTGTTGAGAGTTCTGGAAAACATGTTGGATCTCATCCCCCAACTTACTTCCTGTGTTCTTAAGGAAAGATCTACATTCAAGACACTTAACCAAGATTAGTTATGGTTTGAAACAGGGAACCCAACTGAGACCACAGAGTCAGGCGCAGCTTCTCTAGACTCTGGAGTACAGATTCTAGTCCCCTTTCAAAAGCTGCAGACAAAATGTAATTTATAATATGATCTGAACAGAAAATTATTAAATGTATGAAGAGTAATTGCATTAACAAAACATTTTGAATCCAAACTGTTTAACGCACTCCCAGGCTAAAGCCAATTTGAAGTGTAAAACAGACTGTTCCAGTCACTTGGGTGATATTTCAAACAGAAAAAAATGATTTTTTAAATTTGACATAAGGTAGTCCTCAACTTACAAGCATTTGTTTAATGAGTGTTAAAAGTTAAGATGGTGCTAAAAGGTGACTTATGACTGGTCCTTGCACTTATATGACAGTTGCGTGATGAGAATTTGAATGCTTTGCAACCATGTATTGATGATGGTTGTAGCATCCCAGGGTCACGTGATTGTCATTTGTGACTTTCCCAGGGGACTTCCAACAAGCAAAGCTAGAAGCTGGATTCACTTAATGTCTTTATGATATGCTTAACAACGGTAGCCAACCCCCCCCCCCTCATAAAACTGGGCATGACTCATTTAATGCTTAGTGATGGAAGATCCAGTTCCCATTATAGTTGTAAATTGAGGACTATTTGTACTTCTGTGTCTTGCATTCAAAATAGAGTATTTCAAATTTGAAACTGATCAAAGTTGAAACATTTTGCAGACTTCCCAGTATCTTCCTGTAATATAATTAATTTTAATATTAACATTATGGTTTTTGCTTCCTTGTTATATTTTAAAAAAATACAAACAGGTGATCGTATGACAGACTGCTATGATTCTCTGGTAGAGTTGAGCCATCTATAATGTGTGAGTTTAAAATTGACACAACCCCCTTTTGTGTACTTCCTTGAAACTCCCTGGGACAGCACCATCAAAATTTGGCAATAGATTGTGTCAGAGTTTGTTGCAGAAATTACATCCAGAAAGCACACACAGGCAGACTGATGCAGCAGGATTCATTAACTTCTTTATATACATAATAATTTACAATACCAATATCAGAGTTCTTCTTCAACATAGTAGCAGTTACAACACAAGGCAGGAGAGAACGGTTAAGTTTCATTTCAGCAGAGCAGACAAGCATGCACAGATTGCTTAGTTTCAGTTTCAATTTTTTGCACAGACTCAGAAGCTGCAGACTAAGACACGCCCTGGCTCCAGTCTGTCTCAGCTCCAATTGGCTGACTTAGTTGCTATGCCTATTCATTGGCTGATCTATTCCAGATTATGAATATTCATACTCTGACAGATTGCTGTAAAATGGCATTTTAGAAACGTAATAATTACTAGCCAAGACCTCAGCATTTTGTCCTCAGGCAATGTCCACCAGTTGCTCAGAGCTGACAGCACTGGAGTGGATGAACAGATAACCTGGCCTTGTAGGAGGAGTTTGGCCATACTAAATGCACAATAAACAAATGGGTTGCCAAGTTCAAACATGCACTTCACATTATGTTTGCCCTTGCCCAGTAGATGCATGAATTAAACTAAGTTTTTTTAAAAAGACAGTATTTAAAAGCTACAATTTAAAGATTAAATGAAGAGATGTTTTTGATGTGTGTATCTCAGTTTAGACAACATCAATTCAACTAAAAATAAACACTTACCTTTTAATGGGACCTCACCCATCTGCAAGCTCAAATTGTGTGGCATAAGAATAATGCAAAACATTCCTCCTGGAATGGCCTAATAGCACTGCTTGGAACAACACATGCTTAAGTATTCTGAAGGGCGAAGTACAGGTTGCATTTATGTGCTTACTAAATGCAAAGGCGATTTATGTGAAATCAACAACAAAGCCATATCGACTAAATTGCTGAAAGAACATCATTGCATTTTTGAATGGATAACTGCTAGGATTTTTTAACTTCGACTCATGTGTGAAAACTGTGAAGTAGAAAGCTGCAGATAACTGCAGCGCAAGACTTCATTTGCTGAATTGTCAACGAACTCATGACTAAAATATGTCTTTTAATAACCTTTTCCAGAAGCATTTCAGTCAATATATGATCACATAAAATTGCCTGCTGAAATTGTATATCATCTGTCTATATCCCAGGAGATAAATGTGCAAAATGTTTCAAATAACATGAATATTAGAATATTATTGGGTAGTTGAAAACACAGTCACAGCGTTTGAACCAAAAGGGCTATATTTAGACTAATTACTGAGAAGATTTATGGAATCCTAAGCAAGTTGACCTCTTCCAGTTCTGGTACCCATTTCTTTTGGTATTTATTGTTACCTACGTGTTCTAATCCATCGCTTTAGTTTGCAGCCACTTCTTCAAAATGCATTGAGTATCCAGAGTTTCTGCTTCCTGTCCCTCAAGGCTAGGTTGTATCTGTACAGCATTATGATATTTCTTGACAGTAAAACTACTGTAGTTCAGTTTTGAAACATGTCTTTCTCAAGATTAATAACTCAGTAACAATAGGCAATGATGCAATAGGAGGCTTTTTTTCTTCATTCACTTGCCTGATTGGAGCATTTTCAGGACAGCTTGTAGATTGCAAACTAGAGACTTAGCCTTCACAAAGTGGGAGAAGAGAGGCTTATATCCCTTCTCGAGACCAAACATCATCTTCTCCTTTGTGCCCTTCTTATTTACAATAACAGCAGGTAAGAGAGAAGAGCAGACAGCAGGGCTTAGAAAGGAAAGACAGCTGGACATCTGTGCTGGGAAGCTGCTGCTTTTACACGCTATTGTGGAATGTAAATCTGGACAGGTTTCTAACGAGCAACTGTAATTCATTTTCCTGGATTTTGGGTGGACTGTTTAGGCTAGCAGGGTGAGGAACACTCAAAGTGACCTCCCCAATTGCTAGCCTTTTACCTAGTTATCCCTCTAATTTCCCATGTGTATATTCATGCATACAAAACAGATGTTATGATGATTAGTGCAAGCTACTCAGTGGCATTCATCATTCACATGGATGAATGCAGCAACTATTTAGATATTGCATGTCCTTGACTTTGGGCCATTTAAAAGTTCCTAAACTCTCATTTCTTCACTTTACATTTAATTGAGTGTTTATCACTGAATTATATTAACAACAATTCTTAAAGAGATGAGGGGCAAGCCGTGTTTGTACCTATTTTCCACAATAATTAACTCCGGTGACAGTTTGTATTCACACAAGAAACAATAACTAGAGAAAAGTGTGGTTAAGGGGGAAAAAATCCTATCTTCCCTTTTTTTTTTAATATGGATAGGCCCCATATGCTGAATGATTGCTTTGTTAGCAAACCAGTTATCAGAAAGACTGTATTTCTAAGATGATTAAAGCCAGAGATTGAATCGGAGTTGATTTGGAATGAATGCATACCATAATTAAAATTTGTCTTACTTCTGTTTAGATGAAAATACTGGAGATGGTGAATTAGATCTAAGTGGAATTGATGACAGTGAAATAGATATGGTAAGAATCTTTCCACCCCCAACTCTCATAGTTGTTTCTATACATATGAGGATATGTTCAAAATTATCAGAGTTTTTTTTTTTCTTTTAAAGTAAAACTAGTGCTATTGTTTTTCCCTTGAGAAAAATAAATGTTATTCTATATTCTGTTCAGAAATTACATGTGCTACACAAAAAAATAATACAAAATTCTGTATTTAAATGAAACTGGTGATTGGTAGTAAATAAGCATGTGTATACAGAGAAAAGTATAGGTGTGCAATCTAGCAATAGAATAAGTAGAAATGAATTATTTGTTTTGTTTCTAAAATCAGTATCTATACTTTAAATATAAAAGAGAGTCTTTGGGAAAGCATGAGTTAGTTTGAGAGAGAATGGTGGACACAATAAGGATTGTGCTAATTCCTATATATTTGCTGCAGAAATCTTAACACTTTTACTCTTTATCTCTAGTACATACTTAATGATTCAGAAGCCAGGATAAAAGCAGAACTGTGGATGAAGGAAAATGCAGATTATCTCAAGGAACAAAAGGGTAAGCAAAATAAATAAAAACATTTCTGTTGATTCTTGCTTGCTTTTTATTTGCTTATGACAGTGTTTACAGATCATTTCTTAGGCTGGAAGGCGTACAAAGTAAACAAAAGCAGTAAGAAAACTTACAGGGCTCAAAACATTAACTGTAACTGATCAGTTTGAAGAAAATCATAGTTACATTATTTTAAGAAGACTTAGCCCAGACTTAAATTCCTTCTTTAATTAAAAGACACGAGCCATGTGTGTGCTATCTTGTAGTTAGCACAGGTACCCCACCTCCACCATATGATAAAATAAAAATACTGCAAACCTCAGGAAAGATCTCCTCAGAACTATGAATGCCGGGCATCCTTAGCTCCACCTTAGCTCCATTGTTTTCATTTGGGCAAGTCAGAGGTACCTGTGACACTGCATTACTGACCACTGTTCTGGATTTGACACTGCTACAGAAGGAAAGAAATCAAGTCTCTGTTTGTTTCCGTCTCAGCCCCTACCTCCAACCCCCGATTCCTTAAAAAATTATTCCGCTTACACTTCTCTTTTATCCTTTTTTTTTTTTTTTTTAAGAAAAAGAAGCAAGGATAGCAAAGGAAAAAGAGCTTGGTATATATAAAGAACATAAGGTAAATAATATTTTTGAAATCAATGATGTCAAAAGAAACATTTGAACAATGTTTAATTTTGTTGGATAAGACCTGTATAAAGTATTTCATTGTAAACACCAATGTATTTTAGAATAAGAACTCAATCTTACCAGTTTGGCTGGCTTCAAAAAAAGGGCTGGGCCAACAAATAAAAGTCATGGGATCATAATCTTGATTGCTTGTCTGTCTGCTTCGGAAGACCAGCTGCTGGGAAATTGGTGGGCTTTCTTGTACAATTGGTTGGCTACTGTCAGAACAGACTGCTTGTATTACGGTTGTAATACTACAATTTATTTTTTCTCTCTATATTTTTAAAATAAATATGAAGCATATGTTTTTGTGCATTCTACCTTATATATGTTTGTTAAAATCCTCGTATCACTAAGGTATATTATTAACGTGTTTTATGTGTAGTGCATAAATATATATCAACTCCTAGTTAGATGTGGGCTTTTTTTTTTTTTTTACTGCAGTAAAGCTTTTAATGTCATTAAAGCAAATCATATGTAATCCAAACTTTCTTAATTATATATTTATTTTTAAAATAAGTATTTCAAAGCTTGATTGTCCTACTTAACAAAAAAATAGCTAGACATGTTAAGATAAGATTGGCCTCAAATTGAGCTACATTTTTATGGACTGCATCCATGCAGTTTTGCTGGCAGAGTTAACAGGTGCTTAAGTTTATTGAGATTAGTTAGTGGTGACTCAGTGCTGCCATAGGTAGAAAAAAGTAAATGCTTCTAACCAATCCTGTGACCTGTTGAGTCATCCTTTGAGAGAAAGTTGGTGTAGTCTGATTTGAGTGAAATTAAATTTTATTTATTTATTTATTTAATTAAACTTATATACTGCCCTTCTCCCCAGGGGGACTCAGGGCGGTGGACAGCCAGAAATTAAAATACATATAGTACAAAAGTTAAGAAAAAACTAAAATAGATTAAATCAGCGGCATTACCAATTTAAAATCCCAAATCAACAAAATCAAAAAATTCCCAATTTAAAACCCAAAAACCAATAAAGTTAAAAGATTAAAAATCCCCATTAAAACCATTTAAACTAGAGCCTTGATAGTACAGTGGTTTAGTGCACCCTGTTATTAACACAGCTGACTGCAATTTCTGCTGGTTCGAATCTCTCCAAGGCTCAAGGTTGACTCAGCCTTCCATCCTTTCTAAGGTAGGTGAAATGAGGACCCAGTTTGTGGGGGCAATAAGCTGACTTTGTATAAAATATACAAAAGAATGAAGGCTATTGCTTAACGCATTGTAAGCCGCCCTGAGTTTCCGGAGAAGGGCGGCATATAAATCAAATAAAAAAAAAAAAAAAAAAAACTAGGCCGGCTTGTTGGAATAAATAAGTCTTCAGGGCCTTGCGGAAAGTGCGGAGGTCCGGGATCAGTCGTATTTCAGGAGGTAGCTCATACCTTAGGCTGATCATACTTTTTTTTTACCCCAATGCTAGATAGTCCCATATATATATATAAAAATAACTGTAATGGCAAACTTCTATAATAAGTCAATATTTGCTTACCTTAAACAGATAAACGGAATGACTACAGGCAGGCAAAAAGCAGTGGGAGCAGGACCAACTTCTGACTTCCTGCTGACTTCCTTATTTATTTTGCTTTTAAGGAAACTGACAAGGAATGTTGGAAATCATGATCATGTGAACATGGGGATCCTGCAACAGCCATACATTTGCAAATAAACTGATTTGAACATCATGGAAATTTCAATTCCACAGGAGCAATGGGCCCTGGATTTTTAATGCTTTCTTTAAATTAACAGATTTTAGGCACTCAGATTCAAAATTTATTGAGGCATAATGCACTGTTTGGGCTAACTTGAGGGTACAAACAGATAAACACAATAAGAACTTTAGTAGTTACCCATTTTCATACCAGTTTTCTCTTTGAAAAATTGAAGAAACATTTATAATAGATATGTTGAAGTTATGTTAGACTTTTATACTTCAGAAAGTACTCTTTAATCTGCAATAATAAGAGAGCAGGGAAGCCTGTGTTGTTCATTTGCTTTCTCTTCCCATTAATGAAATTCCATTCCCTCTTTTGGACAGAAATTGTCAGGGAAGATTTTTCAGTTATTAAAGCAGTCCATTGTACTACATTCTGAAATTGCCCCACTCCTTTACCTGACATACTGAGGTCCTCTTTCAAGCTGGATCAGTTGCAGATTCAGAGTTGTTGTCATTTGTACAGTCACTCCTTTCTTCAGCCGTGACAATATTATGTATCCAAACTCTGTCCCAATAATTATGAAAGAAAGATTGGGAAGCAGATTTCCTTTTCTTGGCAGTAACTGCACATTCCAATCTTCTTTTTCTAAAATACTACTTCATTCTATATTAATCCATCATGAAATTAATCATGATGATTTTAATAAAATTTTTCTATACATCTAAATGTGAGTATCTATGAGAGAGATGATGGTAGGGTATAGATTGCCAAAATTCAATGAAGACATAATGCATAGTTAGCGCAAATATTATTTGCTGCATTAATTCTGATACCCTAATGTTCAGTAAATCCATAATTTGGCTTGCTAAACGGTCTTGCTAAATAGCCTAGTAGCATAGAGAGAAACATCACTAAGGTCTGGATTCTGTCTTGCAAATGAAAAAGCTGGAGAGATGCAGTAATGATGTAATTTCTTTGAAAAACTGGGAGCATCATTTTGGCCAAGTAGTTGCTGTTTTTGCATTTTGCATTTCCTCATAAAATCCTAGCAGCATCCCCATCACACCTGCAATTTTTGTATTCAGCAGCAGAGACTAGAGCTCAACAGCAGAGTACATGATTTGCATGCAAAAAAAAATCCAAGCTTGATTCCCAGAATCTTCAGATAGGGATAGAAATGATGCCTGTTTGATAACTTAGAGGAACCTATAACTTAGAGAAACTATCTATCAGAGTACAGACAGTACTGAACCCGATGTCTGATTTGTTAAAAGCGGCTTCCTCCATTTTTATTGCTGCATTTAAATTCAGTGCATTATGCATCTAGTTGACATTGCAGTTGCTTTGAGCATCACATATCATTTCTCAGGGGATTGCATTTATTCAGGCCCATTTTCCAGCAGATTTTCAACTTATGCATTCCTGGCAGCTTCCAGTGATCTACAGTATAGCAGTCCCAGAGAGCCCTTGGACATAGTTCTTTGCTTTTATTTGATCTATCTATGCATCCCTTGAGTCTCATGTTGCAGCAGTGGCTGCAGTGTGCTGTTTGATATTTCCATCGAGATCAGCAGAACAAAGATTTGCAGTAAGTTTTTCTTCTATGCTTGTGTGTCTGTGGGTAGCAATAATGTGATTTATTTTGTACTGACATTTTATAAAAAGCACCACTTGAAAATAATTCTTCTGCAACTGGGACAAATCCAGATTTTAGAAATGAAGAAGCAGAGTCATGGGGAATTGTCAGCATTTAGAAAAACCAATGAGGAGTGTGTGGACTTTCCTAGTCAAGAATTGCCAACTAAAAGACTATCACTTTTTAGCATGAAGAAGGGGAAGAAAGGATAGTCTGCAGACACAGGCCACATTTGACATAATTACTCTGTTTTTTACTAACATCCCAAGAAACACCAACTAAGAATACATTGTGAAAATCATATATCTAGAAATTTAAGGATAGGATCTTTGTAAGTACATTGGGATCCAAGAATTTGTTTATCACCAAGCTAAACTAAAATCACATTTTCACTTACAATATTGTATATTCACTTGCATATTGTATTTCAAGTGTACAGCCTAATTCATTATGGGAATGCCAATTTTTATGTTTACGGTTTGTTAGTGTAAGTCAACAAATTGCAGGTGACAACCCAGATTCAGGCATACATGTCCTTATACCTTCACAACCAGATTGCAGCTCATGTGTTCTGTGTGGAGATTTCTTTGAAGATGTTGTTAGATACAACATAAGGCAGGAATGAGTTTGTTACATGGAACAACACAATAAAACAGCTTACTTGACAATACAACAAATTTCTGTACCAAAACATGCATTGCGGTGATCTACCATTTTTATAAAAGTGCGTATAGTCAAGGCTATGGTTTTCCCAGTTGCAATGTATGGCTGTGAAAGTTGGACCATAAGAAAGGCTGAGCGCCAAAAAATTGAGGCCTTTGAACTCTGGTGCTGGAGAAGACTCCTGTGAGTCCCTTGGACTGCAAGGCGAACAAACAAGTCAGTCCTAGAGGAGATCAATCCTGACTGTTCTTTAGAAGGCCAGGTCCTGAAGATGAAACTACTTTGGCCACCTAATGAGAAGGAAGGACTCACTGGAGAAGAGCCTAATGCTGGGAAAGATTGAGGGTAAAAGAAGAATGGGACGGCAGAGAATGAGGTGGCTGGATGGAGTCACTGAAGCAGTAGGTGTGAGCTTAAATGGACTCCAGAGGATGGTAGAGGACAGGAAGGCTGGAGGAACGTTGTCCATGGGGTCGCGATGGTTCGGACACGACTTCGCAAGTAACAACAACAACAACAAACCATTATTATTTTCTAAGAATATCTGTAAGAGCTATATCGGGTCTGAAGACATTGAGAGATAAGTGATGCTAAAGGCTCACAGTTTTGCAGGCTGTGAGCTTCTCATTCTATTTCATATTAAATTACAGGTATCTAAAAATGAAAATTAAGCAAGAATTTGCTTGGTAAATGTTATAGAGGAAGGATCCAGAAATGTCACTTTATTCCCCTCCCCCCCAATTGTTTTCAGTTGATACAGTGAATGATTTGGCTATCTCTCCTGATGTTTTTAGATTCAATGCAACTTAATGTTAGATAATATACATTGGATAATGCCCAAAGGGTAATGCCACAATTGACTAAATCTTTTATATTCTGGAGCCCTTTAGGTGGTTGTAATTTTTGGGAGAGAGAGTGATTCATCTTTGGTATCAGTATTAAATATCAAGCATAAAGGAATATATATATATATATATATAT